AAAAAAAAAAAAAAATATATATATATATATATATGTATATGCTATATATATATAAATTGAGAAAATAAACTCACTGTTAAATTTGAGAAACCGGTTCAGAAGCAACAGAGTAAACTAAAAGAAAAGGAAATTACAAAGATAAAGGCACAAATCAATGAATAGAAAACCACACGAAAAATAGAGAGGGTGAGCCAAGGAGGAAGCTGATTCTCAGAGAAGATGTTTAGGAAAAGGTAGACATATGCAAAGAAGTCATACACAAAATGAAACAAAGCATAAAGAGCGAGACCTCATCTCTAAAAATAGCTGGGCGTTGTGTCGGGTGCCTCTAGTCCCAGCTACTTGGGAGGCTGAGACCAGAGAATCACTTGAGCCCAGGAGTTTGAGGTTGCTGTCAGTTATGATGCCAAAGCACTCTACAGAGGGCAACATAGTGAGGCTCTGTCTCAAAAAAAAAAAAAGAAAGAAAGAAAGAAAGAAAGGAAAAGAAACAGAGAATAAATAATAATAGATGTAACAGGTTTTTTTTTTTTTGAGAGTCTCACTTTGTCACCATGGGTAGAATGCTGTAGCTTCTTAGCTCACAGCAACCTCCAGCTCTTGAGCTTAAGTGATTCTCTTGTCTCAGCCTTCTGAGTAGCTGGGACTGCAGGCACCCACCCCAACACCCAGCTATTTTGTTTGTTTGTTTGTTTTAGAGATGAGGTCTCGCACTTCATCAGGCTGGCCTCAAACCTGTGAGCTCAGGCAAGCTACCTGCCTTGGCCTCCAAGAGTGCTAGGATTATAGGCATTAGCCCACCTTGCCCAGCCAACAGCTTTTTTAAATTTCAAATGAATATGAGGGTAAAAATCTTTAGGTTACATTGTTTTTACTTCTAAGGCAGTGGTTCTCAACCTTCCTAATGCTGCAATGTATTTTCATTGTTACAAAGGGGTAGTGACCCACAGGTTGAGAACGGGCTGTTCTAAGGTAAAGTCAAAGTTGTAGTTGAACCATTCACCCAGGGGCTATGCTGCACACCCTCACATTGTGTTCATTAGGTGAGATCCCACCATTTGCCCTCCTTCTTCCCATGAGATTTAAAACCTAGATGTTATGGCCAGGCGAGGTGGATAATGCCTGTAATCCTAGGACTTTGGGAGGCCCAGGCAGGTGGATTGCCTGAGCTCATGGTTGGAGAACAGTCTGAGCCAGAGTGAGACCTGGTTTCTAGAAGTAGCTGGGCATTGTGGCCATTGCCTGTAGTCCCAGCTACTTGGTAGGCTAAGGCAAGAGGATCACTTAAGCCCAATAGTATGAGGTTGCTGTGAGCTGTGACAGCACAGCACTCCATGGAGGTGAACAAAGTGAGACGCTGTCTCAGAACAAAACAAACCAAACCTAGATGTCATTAATATAATCCCCCATATAAAAATGATCCAGGATGATAAAGTTTTCTAAATGAGTTCTACTTCAAACTTTAGGTTTATTCTATATAATATTCTAGTTACCTTTGTAAAACATTGCAATTCAATTCAACAAAACTTTACTATATGCCATCTCTGTGGCTGGTACTTTTATCAGTGCAAAATATATTAATTCCTACAATATATTTTTATCAATTAGTTACTGTTGGCAAGGCACAATGCTAAGGGTGGGGATATGCTTGTAAACAAGATGGGCAAATCTCTTGCCTCCTGGTGCCTATACTCCAGTGGATGAAACCTACCAAAAAATCCCAACAGGAAATATCAAATAAATAGAATAAAGTATGGCCACATTTATGTGAAAATTACGGATACTTACGTATACATATGTATTGGAACTCACAAAAAATTAACAGTAAGCCATGTTATGTTTTTGCTCTCGAAAGTCTTTCAGAAGCTGTTAAATTACTTAAAAATGTTGTTTTAGTCATGATTTTGCAACAATTAAAAGCTGCCTTGGCTTTCTTTTTTAGAATAAAGACTTGAAGGAATGGAGTCATTTACAACAACTTAAATGTCCTATGAACACACGCTATATTCTGAAAGGAAGGAAGGAATAAAATCAAAATATGTTTCCTGGGAACAAGCAAGTTTTCAAGCCTAGAGCTACACAGTGAAAGCATTCTGCAAGAGAAGAACATTTTATCTTCTTACCTTGAATAAAGCAAGGACTCAAATATAGACTTATCACGAGTTATTTTAGCTTTAATCAGCTAGTTAAAACTCTCTGATAAGGTCCAATTTTCTTATCAGCTCAGCTCAACATAAGGCCTTTGAAGCACACTATGTACAAAACTTACAGGTGGGCCCACTGCAAGAAGTTTCTCTTTAGGGAGGTGAGGTGGCTCAAGCCTGTAATCTCAGCACTCTGGGAGGACAAGGCTGGAGGATCTTTTGAGCTCAGAGTTCCAGGACAACTCTGTCTCTATTAAAAATAGAAAAATTAGCTAGGCGTTGTGGCGGGTGCCTGTAGTTCTAGCTACTCAGGAGGCTGAGGCAGAAGGCCCAGTAGTTTGAGGGTGCTGTGAGCTAGGCTGCCGCCATGGTACTCTAGCCTGGGCAAGAGAGCGAGAGCCTGTATCAAAACAAACAAATACACACACAAAACAAACTCATATTAGCTAGGGGGTGATGGGATTAAAAAAAGATTTCACCCGAATCAGAGGTGCCAAGAGGAAGACCTCCTGGAAATAACCTGATGCCGGGGTAGGATTAACTGGCCACGCCTATGTTTGTTCATCTTCGGTACATCTCCTGACTTCTTTCATAACAACTTTTTTTGTATTAATATTTAGTGGCTTACATACCCATTTCCCCTATTAGATTCCTCAGGAACAGTGGCCAGGTGCTAGTTCATTTTCTAATACCTGACACTAAGCACTATGCCAGGCACTAAAGACATATTTAATAAACAAACAATATTTGGTTTTGGCAGATTTAGCCTAAAATTCTCCACTTTAAAACAATCCGTTTGGGAAAGTTCATACAGCATCTCTCTTCAGGGCTGTGAAAAGCCATCATTTCCCCATCATTGCAAATGCAGAAGATTTTAAGCCGTAGGTGACACCGCCCCGGAGCAGGGCGGGGAGCTCCCGGGTGCAAAGCGCCCCTCCCCGCCTGCAGGGCGCGTCGCGCACGCGCAGTCAGGGAGGGCGAGCGCCTGCCCTCTGCCCCTCCGCCCTCCAGGTGGCGCTGGCGACCCTGCCGCCGCCGTGGCCCCGGCCGCTTTTCAGCCGGTCAGACCCTGGAGGCGCCGGCCGCCTCGCGGGCCGCGGGTCCGCCTCCGCCGCGCCGAGGGCGTGGGCTGTCGGCTCCCGGAAGCGGCGGCCGCGGCGCCGAGCCGAGCGGGCGTCGGTCCCCGGAGCGGCAATGCGCGGCGGTCGGAGGCTGTGACCTGAGCGCGGCGGCGCGGTCGAGACCTCTGCATGGCGGCCCGTTGAGGCGGCGGCGGCGGCGGCAGCTCCTCCGGGCGCGGCGTGGCAGCGGCCGGGGTGATGCTGCTTAAGCTCTTACAGAGACAGACCTATACCTGCCTGTCCCACAGGTATGGGCTCTACGTCTGTTTCGTGGGCGTCGTTGTCACCATCGTCTCCGCCTTTCAGTTTGGAGAGGTGAGTAGCGGCGCCGGAGCCCGGGCCGGGCGCCTGGAACCCGCACGACCCGCGCGGCGCCCTGTCCTCGCGGTGCCCCGAGCCCCGCCGCGCTGCACTCCCTGCCTCCCCATCCGCCCCGCAGCCCCGGGGACCAGTCCTGATCCAGGCTCCCCTTTACCCCGAGGGACCAGGAACTCGCATCTCCTCCCCTGGCTCAATTGGCAGCATGTGGGGTCGAGATCTTGTCTTCCCGACCGGTTTAGGAGGGATAGACGCCGGTTCCGCATATGCTAATCTGGGTGCCCTCTTGGGGTCCTCAAGTCATTGACTTTGTCCCTCGGACCTTGCCCTCTCCCGTGAAACCCCTTTCTGGAACCTATAGTTTCTTTCCGCATTTCTCCATAGCACACCTAAATTCTCTTTCCCTGCCCTCCTAAGGTTCTCTCTGGCATCATCCTTCTATTGTCATTTTTGACAAAGGCATCTTATCTTCCTAATCTCGTCCCCCCATCTCAAAACTTTTGTGCAAAGTCGTGTAAGGTTTCGTTTGTTTGTTTTTTTCCATGTGAATTTGCACTGGGGAGAGTATACTGGCCCAAATTTTAAGGGAATTAGGTGTTAAAGGGATTTATGTTTTTGCACTTTTACTTTATTGTGGACAGCTGTATATCAATTCTAGCCCGTGGAGGCTCTGCCGGTAGCTGTGCGTTCCCTGATGTAAAAGACCTCTTGGCAGCTGGGAAAGCTGCTCCCTGTCCTGAGATCAGCTGGAAACAGGCCCCCTGTCATGTGATGGAGAACTGGGTAATTGTTTTGAACTTCATCATGGGACCTCTTGGAAGCCAGCACCAACCTGTAGGTCGTGGAATATGCTAATTTATTTTTATTTTCTTTTTTGAGACAGAGTCTCAAGCTGTTGCCCTGGGTCGAGTGCTGTGGCATCATAGCCACAGAACCTCCTAACTCTTGGGCTTAGTGGATCCTCTTGCTTCAGTTTTTCTATTTTTAGTAGAGATGAGGGGTCTGTGTTACTCTTGCTCAGGCTGGTTTCGAACTCATTAGCTAAACAATCCACCCACCACAGCCTCGCAGAGTGCTAGGATTATAGGCATGGGCCACGGTGTCCAGCCTAATATTAGACTTGCGGTCACAGTTGCTAGGCCTTTCTTGATCTGCTTTAGTTAATGTACAATAAAGTTGTTCCCTTAGACTAAACTCTTGAGAGGGTCCGGGCAACAGATAGGGGAAGTGGAAACCTAGGTTGGATGGATTTTGTTTTTCTGGATACATACTTTAAGCATTTTCTGGAATGAAATAACCCTTTGGTTTAGTTTGATATTTATTTCGTTGCTGGCAGTCTAACGCAGTATTCTTTAACATAAGCAAGTATACAGAGACTGTGAGCAAACTATGAGCAGATCAGAACTGGAAGAGTACATGGATGTTGATTTTCCAGAACACTACTTTCAGTAAGTGGGAGAAAAATTGTATTTTCAATTGGTTTGAAATTTGTCTCCTTGTATTTTTCCTTTGGCGGGGGAGGGATGGTGCAAAAGATTTTAAAATTAACAGAATGGTTTTCTACAATATACATGTACTGAAGTCTGTACTCAATGCCATATTGGAGGCTCTGTGAAAGAAGGTTCTGTCTGTTTAAATACTGTAATCCTGGCTGAGCGCAGTGCCAGGTACTGCCAGAGTGTGCAAGCTTAGTATTTGTTTAATGAATGACTGAATTATGTGGCTCGATTTCCAAGGGTTCCTTTCCTTTTAGTAGTTTCTTACAGGTAAGAATAAAAAGGAAAAGTCTTATAGGTAAGGGTGAGAAAGCTTCATACGTGCAAACGTGGAATATGTACTTAATATTCCAGGATCTCAAAACCACCTGCTTAGCTATCTTCTTTCATGGGTTGCAACTTAATATATCTGTGCATAGTTAAATGCCTTATTGGTTTTGGATGATTTTTAAAATTCACATTAATTTCAAATTAGCTGTTTATTAACTCTGATGCAGTGTGAAGGTGACGTAAAGGCATCAGTAGTTAAGAATTTTTCAGTTGTGAAAGAAATTTTTTCTTTTTCCCTTTTATTTAGTGTGGCTGTTTACCGAAAGATGTTTTGTCACAGTCTTTTTTTTTTTTGAGACGGAGCCTCAAGCTATCCCCCTGGTAGAGTGCCATGGCATCACGCTCACAGCAACCTCCAACTCCTGGGCTCAAGCGAGTCTCCTGCCTCAGCCTCCCAAGTAGCTGGGACTACAGGCGCCTGCCACAGCGCCTGGCCATTTTTTTTTTTTTTTTTGGTTGCAGCCGTCATTGTTGTTTGGCGGGCCCAGGCGGGGGATTCGAACCCGCCACCTTAGGTGTATATGGCTGGCGCCTTAGCCGCTTGAGCCACAGGCACCGAGCCGTCACAGTCTTTTTTTGAGAATGAGTCTCTCTCTGTTGCCCCAGGCTGCAGGGCTATGGTCAGCATAGCTCACAGCAACCTGAAATTCCTGGGTTCAAGTGATCCTCCTGCCTCAGCCTCCCAAGTGGCTGGGACTACAGGCCTCTGCCATTGCCCCTGGCTTATTTTTCTATTTGTAGTAAGAATGGGGGTCTTATTCTTGCTCAGGCTGGTTATCACAGTCTTAAAATGGCCACAGATCTTAAAAGTTTGCACCAGAAAAGTGGAATGAGAGGCTTGGCTCCTGTGGCTCAAGTGGCTAAGGTGCCAGCCACATACACCTAAGGTGGTAGGTTTGAATCCAGCCAGGGCCTGCCAAACAACAATGACGGCTGCAACAAAAAAATAGCCGGGCGTTGTGGCGGGCGCCTATGGTCCCGGCGACTTGGGAGGCTGAGGCTGGAGACTCGCTTAAGCCCAGAAGTTGGAGGTTGCTTAAGTGTGAACACAGCTCCTGCCAGGAACATGGTGCTGCTATAGGTTTATTTCTAATTAAACCAATTTCTTAACTCCCAGAATCCTTTCACTTGACATCCAAAGTGAAAATTCCCTGAGGGGTTCTACCTTTCCCAGCCCAAAAGGTCATAAGTATCTGGATAAAGGCGTCATCCCCCTGCTTTATAAGCCTCTTATAACAGATTGATTGATTCCCTGCAAGGAATCAACAGTGAGTGACTCGTCACTTCTGCCTATGAGAGAGACTTAAATTTTGTAAAGCAATTAACTTACCTCAGAGAACAGTGAGGGTGGAGGGTCTTGGCCATGTCGATTGCCCTCATCCCTGAGGCAATTAGACATGATGCAGTAAGTTTTATATATACATATAATTTATATAAACACTATGCATACAGATTCTTAGTGTGGGCTGCCATAACAAAATACCATAATGACTTAAACAATAGAAATTTACTTCTCATAGCTCTGGAGGCCAGAAGCTCACAATTAGGGGGCCAGCACAACTGGGTTCTGGTGGGGGCTTGCAGATGGCTGCATTCTTGTGGCACTAATCCCGTTAGGAGAACCTTACCCTCATGACCTCATCTTAACCTAATCATCTCCCAAATACCCCATTTCATTTGGGGTTAGGGCTTCAACATGAGTTTTGAGGAATACAATAGCACAGATGTTTAGCACTGTGTTATTTATAATAGTGAAAATAAAAAGCAACTTAAGTAGCCAATAATAGAGATATGTTTAGGTAAATTTGATGAATATATACCATGGGATATCTATATGCATTCAAATAATTATGGAAAGTATTACTTGTCTATAGAAATCACATTATAATGTTAAGTGAGTGTGGGAGTCAGTTTCAGAATTGTGTATAGAAGCTAAACAACATACAGTTTTTTTTTTTTTAAGACAGAGTCTCAAGCTGCC